TAATCTGTCAGTGTGATATGTTTTTTCACTATTTATGGATGTCTGATCTACATTGTCATACTGAAATTAGATGAAAAATGTCATGTGTATATGAGTGTTCTTACTTTAATATTATGTTCCTATTTTCTAAATTGGATCTAGGAATAATATGACATATAAACACATATGTTCTCGTGCTAATGTCCAACATACTTAATGTAATTTATAAGTAAGGTGTGTTTTTCCAATTTTTTCATCCTTTCACCGTCGAAAAGATTTTATAGAAATAGATATAGATATAGATTTTATATACCCACTAATATATATATATATATATATATATATATATATATATATATATATATATATATATAAAGGAGTTATTGCTTCTTATCATCGTAATTTCGTCTGTCCACACATAATTAATTTTGGTCCGACAAGCCGCTAACGAGGTGGTACTAAAATAATGTACATGTCTGATTTTTAGTCCACTAACAGAAAAATTAGTCTCCTGAGCCAGAAGTCGGAGTGGGCCGGCGAGCCAGCGGCTTAGTAAAAAACATTTACGCATGAGGCGATTCGATCTCACGACCCGCACTGCCACTCTTCCGCCTGCAACCAACTCACTTATGCCCGAGGCAAAAAAATACTCGCTGGCGAACACTCGAACCAAAAACCTGTTGCCTACTCCCTCCTTTCCGGTTTATAGGGCTTATCTCAAAATTTTAGTTTTTCCAATTTGGTTGTTTCCCATCACATGTTCAGATTCCAAGGTGCATTAAATCATTGCATGCAAGTATTAAGAGAAAATTGACCAATGCATGTAATTTATGCATGCATGCATTGCAATTAATGCATTGGTAAACATACTTTTTTGAGGAAAACAAGAGCATTAATTTGGGTGCTTTTGCAAACTCCAAAAGATATTCCACCACTCACCATCTACCTTGGTTGGTGAGATTTTTGAATTGAGCCTTATAAACCGGAAAGGAGGGAGTAGTACATAACGAAGCTGCCAACCGAGCTAGCCTGCGTTGTTGATTAAAAATAAGATTGATTAAGATAATACATAGTCTCACCTCGCTCTCTCATACCCAATCTACTCAATTTATATACATTTTTGTGTTTTTTGGGTGTCAGGAAGATATCTAGGAGATCATAACAGAAAATAAAGGAGAAAAAGGAGGCTAATTAACTGGAAAGCGAGGCAATCAATCTTCAATATATGATAAAATGGTATGACATATAGGCTAAATTGGATCTAGGAATAATATGACATATAAACACATATGTTCTCATGCTAATGTCCAGCATACTTAATGTAATTTATAAGTAGCTCATGCGTTCTATTTATGATGCAAAATCTAATACGTTTTAGTTAATGAACAACACATTCATACAATATGAAAAAAACTCTCATGCAGACAAGCAATTGGGGTCGCGATCTCCAGTCATGGAAACCAAGGAACAAAGAAGGAGAAAAGACAGAGAGCGATATGCACGAATGACGAACAAAGAAAAACAGAAAAAACTAGAAAAACGCCGTGAAGTCTATCAGCAAAGCAAAAAAAATAAAGATCCAACCCAGTTGGAAAACAAATGCACACAAGGGAGGAAGAAATGTGCAAACATGGAACCAACACAAAAGGCAAAAAATTGTGCACATGAAAGACAGAAATATGCAAATATGCAGCAAGAACAAAAGAAAGCTAAAATAAAGCAAATTGTAGCTAATCATGAGTTGAAGCGCAACAGACCATGCAATGATTCAATTGCCATGGTTAACCCTAAGAAATTAGTACATCTATACGACGAGGACTTCATGGTTAGCACACACAACATGAGCATATATGCATGGACACCCAATAAAGTACCTCACTTTTAATAACCAAGTATTAAAAGTTTGACATTTTTACTGTCTGATATGAGTAACTCAATACAAGTCCTAGGTGTACAACATTTTTATTGTGAGTGATGGTCAATGTCCCGGTATGATATGATTTGTCAATAGGCATCGATGATCCAATCTACACCGTCGTACTTAAGTCGGACAAAAAACAAAATGTATATGGCAATGCTCTTACTTTAAATATATATGAAAATCCTTTGAATTAGTAATTAAACTCTTGAAGAATATGCTTCAAAGTCAAAAAATAGGCATCTGACTAAAGTCCTCCATGCGCCCCTTCCTCTCCAAGAACAACCCTTGCACCAATTGTTTCTCCCACTCAAAACCTCTTCGATGCACAACTCGTCTTTGACCCTAGGGTACTGAGGAGTTGAAGGAGGCACCGTTGGAGGAAATGAGTATAGTTCTTCACATCTTTGCCCCATGGTTTGGATAAAAAAAATTCTAAATGGGCTCACTAACCAAAATGAAGATTGCACTTTGACTAAATCCTCCATGATTGAAATAAATAAACTAAATCGACCCGTAGCAATGCACGGGCATGTTTCCTAGTATACACCAAAGTGGCAAATGTCTGCTTTCGTGTGGTTTGTAAGAGCATCTACAGCCGGGCGCCTCAACCCACCTCATACGCCCGGGCGGGCCGCCCGGTCTCTATCCGGTCGCAAAATTTTGACTCAGATGGGCGCCTCAAACGGGCCTCAAACGCCCGGGCTGACCGACACCTCTCATATCCAGCCCAAATATGGGGCGGATATGGGGGCGCTCGGGCGCACCCGGGCACGCCCGCCACGTCGGACCAAACAGCCCGACGCCACTGCAAATTGCAGCAAATCCACCCCAAGACCCGCCGGATCCATTTGCTATCTCCTCTCTTCTTTCTCCTCCGCGCCGTCCGTCTCACAACTCCGCCGCCACATGCGCTCCACAGCTGTTCCTAGCCTCTACAACGCTAGCTCTGGCAGAGCAGTCCTCTCTTCCCTCCTTGCCGCGAGGGACGTCCTCACCAGCCCGGACTGTAGGAACGTTGTATGGGAAACAAAAATTTTCCTACGCTCACCAAGATCAATCTAGGAGATGGACATCTACGAGAGAAGAGATTGGATCTACATACCCTTGTAGATTGCTAAGCGGAAGCGTTAAGAAACGCGGTTGATGTAGTCGAACGTCTTCGCGATCCAATCATGATCCGTCCCGCGAACTCTCGATCTAGCGCCGAATGTATGGCACCTCCACCTTCAACACACATACGGCTTGATGACACCTTCACCTCCTTGATCCAACGAGCGATGGTGAAGTAGTAGCTCGCGTCCTCCGGCAGCACGACGGCATGGTGGCGGCGGTGGTGGAGAAATCTCGGCAGAGCTTCGCTAAGCACTATAGAGAAGAAGATGGCTATGAGGGAGAGGAGGAGGAGCGTCGTGGCACGAATAGATCTGTATGGGTGCGGCTGCCCTCCCTCCACCTCTCTATATATATGGGTAAGGGAGGAGGAGGGGGCCCCCCTAGATCCCATCTAGGGGGCCGACGGCCACCAAGGGGAAACCCTAGATGGGTTTTGGTGCGCCTCCCCTCGGGAGCCTTGCCCCCAAGGCAAAGGGGGTGGCTGCCCTAGGGGAGTGCCCCCACCCCTTCTGGTTACGTGGGAACGGGTGTGGGGCGCACAACCCCTTAGTGGGATGATTTGCCCCCTCCCCTTGGCCCATGGGCCCCCCAACACTTGCCGACACTACTAGGAAAAACACTACCAGTAGCGTTGGTTTTTTCGTAGCAGTAGCGCGCTTTCCCGCGCTACTACTAAGAAGCTACAACTAAATTTTAGCAGTAGCGCGTTTTTTACCCCGCGCTATAGCTACTCCTTACTACTAGTAGCGTGTCATTCTCCCCCCACGCTACTACTATTCTAAGTACTAGTAGCGTGCCATTCTTTCCCCACGCTACTACTATTCTAAGTACTAGTAGCATGCCATTCTTCCCCCACGCTACTGCTAAGTAATTAGAATTTTTTTTTAAAAAAAAATTACATGGAATATTCATGGATGGAAAACAAGACATATCCAACGCAAAATAAAAGAAGGTCACAGAACCATCTTAGCACTTGCAGCATTCATGGATACAACATTGAACATCTCAACTCAAAGAGATCACGAGATACCATTTATACATCAGACACACACAACCGTCACCAAAAGGTGGGTACCTTCCCTAGCGTTCCACCACCAACCTAACATGACCGGATGCCCTCTTCACTCAGATCTAAAGATGATGGATGGATGCACCCAACAGCTTTGTCGCGGACGGCGACAGAGGAGAAGATCTTTGCACATACCTTCAAACTCTGTCGCTATCTTCTACCAGTAAATGAAAACAGACCTTACTTATCAGAGAAGCAAATGTGAAATTGTTCAGATTAGATGTATTCAACAGAGACACTTCAATCATAGAGCTCAATATCTACTAGCTTAAATTCAAATGCTTTATTCAATATTGTGATATCATACTGGACTCTGGCTGCACACTAACTACTCTGTGAGGTTTCCATCTAAGAAACTATCTAGAGAGATTGTAAACGACTAGTCAGAATACGTAAACAACAAACTTCATGAAAGGAAGAGAAGACGCCGCGCGAAGGGCCCAAGCAGCAATCGGTCAGCAACACAAAATCCAACTTATCTAGGTAGTCATTTACAATTCAGCAACGAACCGGAAACTAGTGACAGCTTGTTTGTGGTGTCATCCGTTGCTTCAGCATCGTTGCAAAGTTCAATAGTGCCTCCTACTCCTAGCGTGGGATACATTTTTCATCCGTTAGTCGTTACTGACCCAGCAAAAAACATACAGGAAAGACTAGGGGGATCACAACCAAGCCTTGTCTGGATCTATAATATAACACTCCATACAATCCAGGTTTCTCCGTGTAATAATATCTTGGGAATTGGAATCGAATCTTAGTTACATATAGGAGTACTACAGGTAGTACATACACGGACACATTATATTATTGATATATGATCCAGCAAAATACTGACCCAGCAAGCAAAACACACACGAAACGAGCAGCGGCCGCCTTCTGGATGCAGCAGCTTTGGCAATCAGTTACTACTGTAGTTACCTAGGAAGGGTCATCGTCGCAGCAGCGGGTGATGGACTCGCAGCCGCGGGTGTAGGGGTTGGCGGTGGTGCTGACGCGGCAGTTGTAGTAGGAAACCCCTGGCCGGGAGCACAGCACGGCGTCCCCCCACAGCGCGTCGTAACTGATGTACCTCCGCCCGCCGCCGGTCGCCCACAACAGCCGCCCGTGCGCCACCGGTTCCGCGCCCATCTGCGCTGCCTCCACCCTCATGTCTACGTCCATGTCTAGGGTGGCGATGGTGATGGCGCCGTGGCCTCCTCTCCCCTACACGAGCAGCAGCAGGAGGAGGAGGATTAACGGCGGCAGCACGGGGGTGGCCGCCCTTGGACGTATTACCGAAGGAGGAGGGGGAGGGGGAGCTGAGATCTCAAAGAGTGAAACAGTTGCTCTGGCTGGATCTTTCCTCCCTGGAAACCCCTTTCGGTGATGCTGGTCATCACCCGATACCCCCGGAACAATTCCGGACTCCAATACCCTTCGTCCAATATATCAATCTTCACCTCCGGACCATTCCGGAGTTTCTCATCACGTCCGATATCTCATCCAGGACTCCGAACAACCTTCGGTAATCACCACATGGACTCAACTATACTTATATAGTCACCAAACGTTAAGTGTGTAGACCCTGCAGGTTCGAGAACAATGCAGACATGACCGAGACAACTCCACAGTCAATAACCAATAGCGGGACCTGGATGCCCGTATTGATTCCTACATATTCTACGAAGATCTTGGTCGAACCTCGATGCCAAGGATTCAACTAATCCCGTATGCAGTTCCCTTTGTCTATCGTTATGTTACTTGTCCGAGATTCGATCGTCGGTATCTCCATACCTAGTTCATTCTCATTACTGGCAAGTCTCTTTACTCGTTCCATAATACAAGATCCTGTGGCTAACTCATTAGTCACATTGCTTGCAGGCTCATTGTGATGCTATATTACCGAGTGGGCCCTGAGATACCTCTCCGTCATATAGAGTGACAAATCCCAGTCTTGATCCATGCCAACTCAACAGACACCCTCGGAGATACCTGTAGAGCACCTTTATAGTCACCAAGTTACGTTGCGACGTTTGATACAGACAAGGTACTCCTCCGGTGTCAGTGAGTTGCATGATCTCATGGTCATAGGAACATATATTTGTGTCAGGACCCCGATCCTAAGTCACACCGATCTAGCATCACTACAAAAAAAAGACACATCCGTGACATTTTGGGCCGAACGAATTTTTTTGTCATACTTATGACACTTCTATGACGATATTTGTGACAAAACCAGGTATCATCATAGATGTGGTGGGCTCCTACTTCTATGACAAAAAATCATGAAAGAAAATGGGCTTTTCGTCCTAGGCGGGCGGGAGACGCAGCTTGATATTCTTTGGGCCGTCCATGACAGAAAAAACCGTGGTAGAAGCGAGGGTGAGGAAAATATCGGGGTGTTCCCGGTTACGATGGGTGGTCGGGGCCGAGCGATGCACGGAGGTTTGCGCATTTCTCTCGTACACGCACGCGCGTGGGTGCGAGGCGTTGGGCTCTAACTGAACCAGAGCAAGGCGTTCGCCTACTGAACCCGAGCGATTGCACTGCAAGCTACGCGTTACTGAACCTGAGCGATCGATCGATGGCTGTTAACTGAACCCGACGAGCGATTCCTTCGCTACTGCTACTAACTGAAGTCGATCG